CTCGCACCCTTTTCACCAAAGATGCTCTGCGAACCAACGCTGGAGGGAGCTCTTCGGGCCTTGTTGGCCCGCACGAGCGTCGAGGACTGACTAGGCGCAATCACGCTGTTCGTTTCTTCTTCTTCGTCCGAGCCGATCGTTTCTAGACCTACTCGTCCAGGTCTCAGGCCAGCGAGGTGTCTGCTTTGCCCTCCATCCTCCGAAGCACTCTTCTGAGCGGCTTTGAAGAGCGCTACGCGACTCTCGAGGGAGAGTGCATCGGGCCCTTGACCCGTCGCTTTGAGATCCAACAATTCTCTCGCGGCTCTAGCTGCTGGATCCTCACGAATCGCCTCATCACCCTCCGGCGGCAAAGCTCTCCATTCCGGCACTTCGTCTTTCGAGCTCAGCTCTCCACCCTCGATGATGTCTGCGAAGAAATCATCCAAATCTTCTTCCTCTCCCTGCTCGTCTTCAACGCTATGGTCCTGGTGTACAGACGGACCAGGAGTGCCAAGCTGCGTGGCAGCCGCAATCGGTTTGCGACCGGCAGTGCGCAAGAGGAAAGCGTCATCGTCGAGCGCTTCGAGGACTTGTCGAAGGTGAGGATCCATGTCGGGCTGCAGACCCTTTAGATCCTGCGCGACGTTGAATCCAGCTGACCAATCCCTACTCGGCAAATGTTCAGGGGGCAGCATATCCTTGGATAGTTTCAACCTGCCATCATCTTCCTCTTCTCTTCGTCTCGCTTCCACATCTTCCCTCAATTCGATGCCCATTCCGATCGCTTTGCCTTTTGCCTTTGCATTTGTAGCGTTTGAAGCTGCGCTTTGTTGTTGTTGTTGCTGCTGTTTGGACTTTGGAGCGGGCAAGAGCACCACATCCACATCTTCCTCTTCATCTTTTCCACCTCTCTTCGCATTATAGTCACCACCAATACTTCTCAAGTGTTGCATGTAATCGTACTCTGTATCATCAAAGTAGACTCCATACTTTGCCGCTTCGCCCACATTGCCTCGCAAACGCTTGGACTTTTCGTCCAGCTCGAGTTCCAAGTCGGCTCGCGTCTTGCCCGAAGGTGGACCTTTGCTGGGGATGGAGGACCATACATGCGTGCCCGCTTCTTCGTCATTGATCAGCGGATCTCTCTGCGATCGATGAACCAGCTGAAACTTTTGCAAAGAAGGTCCACGGAATTTGGACCCCATCTTGTGAGCGTCAGGCGAGAGGTGCGCCGCGTGTTGGCGTTGCCAAGCAGGAAGCGGGTCAAGCGGTGAGCGGCTGATGGGTGGGTGGACGAAATAAGCTGCGCTGCCGTCGTGAAGATGCGGAAGGTCAGTGCGGGTGATGATGATGATGACGATGACGACGACGACGAGGATGATGGGCGCACCATATTCAGCCTGCTGCTCGCGTATCCAGGTGCCATGCATGCGCATCTTCCCGAGAGGAGGCTGCTTGCAGCAGGATCCAAAATTTTGAACAAGGAGATACATCACGTGACTCGCGTGTCTGGGCCAAGCGCGAGCCGCACAATCGTGAATCACGAATGTCGATGATGACTCGCAGCGGCTGGCAATTGTGATTCATTCACATGCAGCTGCAGGACTCGCTCAACCTTGACGCGCATCTCACGCAGAAACGATGATGCTCGATCACAATCGAGACTGTGGAATATGGGGTGTGCCATGCTCATTCACGCACG